GTACGATTTCTGAATTAAGTTTTTTTTTAAATAGTCTTTTATATTTCCAGGACCAACCAAGCAACGGAGGGTGATCTCTCATTAGAAAAGAAAAAAGTCTAATCGAATCGACGACCGCACGGCCACGTGCTCTAACTTCTAACTGAACCTGCGACTCACGCGGTCGGTCCAACTACTCTGACGTAATTCGCTTTTCGTCCAGGAAGGGTCGCGTGGAAATTTACCCAATGTATTAAATGCAAGCTTTTTGGAAGCATTTTTGTCTATTCACTAATATCGTTAATTGTCTTTGTTTCAAAATAGCGTCAGCAAATTTAAAAAAAAATCATATTTTTATATTTCTTTGTTTAAACGGGACTAACTCGTAGTTATATCGAATATGAAACCAACCTTTGTATATTTTGTAATAATTGTTTTTTTCATCCTTGTTACCTTTACATCGTTGTAAGTTGTCTGTAGTATTCAATGTTTATATATTATATATTATAAAAAATAATATTCCATACGTAAGTTAATATGTGAAGTCACTTAAGTAGGACGATTATCAATTTCCTCATAACATATTTCTATTTGGTGTTTTAAGTTATTGTTATTAGGTGTAAATATGTTAGATGAGCTTCGTCAACGACAGCCTCGGTGTTTGTACGTATTTTGTATGATAAAGATTTATATTGGTGTCATATATCATATGCACTGCAAGTATTATATTGGACAATATTTGTGGGTAAATTGCTGTAAATAATTAACACGGCTGTTATTCCAATTTTAGGATATTTTTATTTCCGAACTCGAGACCGACTGCAAAACAAGCTGTAAGATAAAATTATAAAAAGATATAGCCGTAATAAAGTTGTCACTTTAAACAAATTCTTTTTGTTGACGCTACCTGTAATCAATATAGAATAATCAATTAATAAATGATAAATCTTAACTTATTCGACGTAAAATCTTAAATCTTTGTTTCAAATCCTTTCAAAATATTGTAAAATATGTTAGGATATTTTGTAGTTTTATAATTATAACACTTTGTGGGCTTGAAACTCGGTCTCGAGTTCAAAACAGCACCGGAATCAAACCGTGGACCGGATCTGTCGGACGACTTGTCGCAAAACTAGTTGTACGACGCAACATGTACCTTTTGCATTGCCATATTTAACCGTAACGCGAATAATAATAATATATTATATAAGCTGTTTAATTTATATATCTCACTAATATACAATGTATATGTGTATACTTTGTGTTTGTGTGCCTGTTTGTTTTATCGTTAGGGTAATTGTGACAGCCCGTAGAAGATATAATACTTCTCACACTAGTTTGTTGTAGATTTTGTAGAATTAAAGTAAATTAGGTCATGAAAATTGTTTATGACTGTTCTCTGTTTCTGGAAATGTCTGTGGTAAACGTTTAGATATTCGGCCGATTGTAGGTTCGAATACTATAATATCATTTTGGTATGTTTGGATATCTGTGTAGTAAACAATGCAAATCGAATATAACTTTTAATATTAATTTAATTTTTTTTAAAAGAATAGTAACAATGCTATAAACATTACTAATATTCCCCTTAACTACTCGTGGTAAGCCTAAATTGCTTGTGTTACGAGTGGTTCACGCCAGTAGTCGAATGGCGGATTCGAACCCTCGACCTTTTTGAGTTCGCGGTCCACGCCCTGCCATTAGGCTAATTAAAAAAAAAACTTTAATAGTTATCATCCAATGACTGTGTGTGGTTTATCGCACTATGTTACAAGGGCATTTTTTTATTTTGTTGTCGATATGGATTTTCCCGTGTCCCAAAAGTACATACAACATTTTTATAAGATTTAAATATTTTTTTGTGGAAACTATATTTTGATCTTAAATTAGATATTATAGGCACCCAAAATATGTTTCAATATGCTATCATATTTGTTTTTTCTCAAAACAACAGGGCTTTATATGTGAGCAAATAGCTGTTTTAACCGTGTCCTCCTAGAAATCGAACATATTGAAGTTCAATTTTTAAGATTATTTTTCACTATCGGGTATGCCTATTTATAGTTTAAAACCTGTAAAATATAGTTCTTAGTCAAGTTTTTATGCTTAAATTACCACAAAGAAAACACACGTATAGTAAAAATTCAATTAAATACGTCGACATAAAATGCACCGCAATGGAAAGTCCTATTGAGTTACGTACTTTTTTCCATATTTCATCAAAAATTTCGATGCAACATTTTATTTTTATGAACTTACAACACTTAAGAAGACGTGGCATGATGCCATTGTGAATGTATAAATGGCGTCAGTGTGCATGACAGCGCCCGAGAGAAGAGGACGTGTCAGGCGTTACATTTTGTAATCCATTGAATTACGGTATTTTCTGTGGTAAGTGCAATGTTTTATGCAGTGTTTAGATATTATTTAGTTATGCAATCTGTGAATTTCAAATATGTTAACTATTAAGTTAAATTTATTTAAAAAATCGAAAATGTTTAGCATATTACTTAGTTACGGCAAAATCGTTACGTTCCGTTGAGAAATTTTGTAACTCAACGGATCAAAATGTAACTCAATGCAAGGCTAAAGTTACGTTCATATTGTTATTTTTCCAGTATCCTTATAATATTGGCAATATTATATCGATTTTAATAATATTATAAATATTCATATATTAATACTTATAATATTATTATAGTGTACGAATATAGTGATAATATTAACTAGTGCAAGTAATTTAAGTAATATGTATTTTTTTATTATTTGCAAAACATTTTTTCTCGGTTTTGCCTTTATCCACACGGCCATTAGATTTCATTTTAGTCCAAATTTTATTTTGCTTTTGACTATTTTGTACTGTTTGAAATTAATGATTATAATACATTGTTGTAGGGATAAAATGGCTATGACTGCAGCAGAACGAATGAAAAAATATAGGGAAAGGTTAAAACAGAATCCGGAAAAGTATAATAATGTTAAAAAGAAGCATACAGAATATGTCAAATCTAAAACTAAAAAAATTAACGAACTAACGGAGAAAGATAAAGAAAAACAACGAAAGATATGGCGAAATCAGAAACGCAAGCAGACAATTAAAAAAAAGGAACTTCAAATAATAGAAAAGGAAAACATAGACAATACCACACCAAAGAAGAAATGTCAAAATAAATTATTCAGAAAATATAAGGCGGCTCTGAAAAAAATAGAAACTTTAATGAGAACTGTAAGTACATACAAGAAACGCTTATATCGTCAAAAACAAGACACAGATAGAAAAGTTAAGGAACTTGAAGAAAAAATATTAAAGTTACAAGCAAGAGAGGAGATATTAGAAGCAACATTAAAAAAATCCTACATGGGATGCAAAACCATAAAAGAAAAACGTAATATCAAGAAAATTGTTCTTGACAACATTGTTCAACATTCCATTAACAAAACTTTTGTTTCCAAATTATTAGGCCTAAGAGGTCTGGCAAGAATTAAACTCCAAAGCGGAATGCAGACTAAAATCAGAAAAGTAATAGAAACATTTTATATAAGAGACGACGTGAGTAGGATGACAGCAGGGAAAAAGCAATGCCGTACAATGAATAAAGAAAAGAAACAGATTCGATATCTGACCGACACGGTCTCTAACTTATATAAAATGTATCGCGAAGAAGGTGGAAAATATAGTCTCGCGACATTTTTCAAATATAGACCCTTTTTTGTTTTATCCCCAACGGTTGAAAATAGAGAAACGTGTTTGTGCATTAAACACAACAATACTGATATGTTGTTTTATGCACTTAAAAAATATCAAATCCTAAATAATTTTAATACTGTAAATGATGTTATAAAAAAACAGTGTTGTAGCATACAGTCGAAAGATTGCATGTATGGAGAATGCAAAGAGTGCAAAGACAATAAAATACATTATGATTCATTGGAAGAAAATCTAGAAGACAGAGTAAAGTGGCATCAGTGGGGTATAAGCGATCATAAATATATAAAAATAGAAAACAAGATCTCTAAAGAATTTACAACAAAAAGAACAGTTAAACTACAAAAAGAAGGCAGCCGCGGCGATTTGGTATCAGCTTTTGAAAGAAATATGAAATTATTTAAAATTCATCACTTCAATTGGATTTACCAACAAAAACAATACCAAGAGTGTGTTAACAACCTCAAGCCTCATGAAGCGTTAATAATATGTGACTTTTCAGAAAATTATGGTTGCAAAATGGGGAAAGAAATCCAAGCTCAACATTTTGGTGCTTCTAAGAGACAAATAACGTTACATACCGGAATGATTTATTGTACTGAGAAATCACAGTCGTTTTGTACGATATCAGACAACAATGCCCATGAACCTGCAGCCATTTGGGCGCATCTTTTGCCTGTGATCCGTGAGATCAAGAAAATAAACCCCCCTGACAAAAGTACTGCACTTCTTTTCTGATGGCCCTTCCTCCCAATATCGTCAAAGAAACAATTTTTTCCTGCTCAATTTATTCACAGAAAAGTTGAAGCTTGATTATACCACCTGGTCGTATTCTGAAGCAGGTCATGGGAAAGGAGTGGCGGATGGCATAGGAGGTTCGGTTAAGAGAGCTTTAGATCGTCAAGTTGCATTTGGCAGGGATGTTGAGAATGGCTTACAAGCATACGAGCATCTTTCAAAATGTATGAAAGTCGTAAAAATTATATATATACCCAACAGAGATATTGATAATATTAAAAAGATTATACCCGAAAATCTCAGCACAATAAAAGGCACTATGAAAATACATCAAATTTTGTCATGTACACCAAACTGCATTAAATATAGAACTCTGTCCTGTTTTTGTGGCATTAAAAGGGGTTGTTGTAATTGTTTCGTTCCGAAAACACATGTTTTTAACAACAGAATATTACAAAAGATTACCAAAAGATGCGATTCTCCTACTGAGATTGTTAACTTTTCTCCTGATCATCAAACGGACATACAAAACTCTTCAAACTTTGATTCATCTGCTACATCAACCAAAAAATCTCCAATGAAAGTCGCAAAAGTAGCTGAGCCTGATCATGTTGTGATCACGGTTACAGCTGATATCCATGAAAACTATCAAAACAATCTGGAATATTTACCGATACCTAAGAACTCTGATGAAATCGTTAATTCAAACAAAGAAAATATGGATTTCAACCGGATACAGATTGAGGACCAAGAACCCCTTTCCTTAAATGATATTAGCCTGGACTTGGATATAAATTTGAATAATGGTGCTGAGGAAAATGTCATGGATGAACCTGTTCCTAAAAAACAAAAAATTAACATTTTAGATATTAAGAATATATCAACCGAAAATGTATTCACCGCGAGCAAAACCGAAAAATGTAAGTCCTTGAAAACAATAAAATAAAATTAAATCTTAGTTGTGATTATATCTGTGAATTTTGTTATAAATAATTGATTTCAATAATTTATAATCAGTTATTAGTTGATTTTGTTGATTATAGAAATAGCTGTTAGTAACTTAGTAAAGACTGATTTATAGTAATATCTAAATAGGATAAGTAGACACCAAGAATACCTTTATAAGATGTTGCATTGTTTCTCATTTATGTTTATTATATTTACCAAAATAATAGTATTAATTGAATAATGTGGACACGGCTTTACGTTTTAGTTACGTTCCATTGAGAGATTGTCCCCTTATTTTATTTTATTGATTTTGAATATTTTTTTTAGATTTTCTACTATGCAAGTGTTTTGTTTATATTTTGTCGTTTTATGAAAATGTTTAATTAATTATAGAAGGATTTTAACTGTCATATGATCGTAGTTACCAATTTTAGAAGAATAAAAAGTATGCGGAAAAGTCAGCAATGTAACTCACAGGACTTACTGTTCCAAATACTCGGTTACTTTAGTTATGTTTTATGTTTATTTGACATTATTTCATTAATGTTTCTCATTATTTTAATCATGAAATAAAAAAAAATAATGTACATTGAGTTTTATTATATTTTTTACAAACCAACATTTTGTTTCTCAGTGGATAACATTTTGCTAACTTCTTTAAGTAAAAGGTAATTATATTCTTATTTCTGTACTATTTATGTTTTATTATTATAAATAATGGTAATTCACAGAATGAGGAACTAAATTAATTAATTTTAAAAGAAAAAGCATCAACTTTATTTTTTACTCAACTTTAAAAAAATGAGACAACAAAATAAAAAAATGCCCACAACATTTACGATTTTCCACAGTTAACTGGTAGATGTCGCCACTGTTGTTAATGCATGTTTGATATAATTAGATAAATTTAAATTTGCTTTCGAAACCCTCCATAAATATTCTAAATTTAATAATAATTTATCAAGATCATTATTCCCATAATCAAGACGAGAAATAAAGCTAATTGATTTGAAATATAATAAATACCCACAATCTATCATATTGTACGAAGTGCCCATTGAATATGTTTACAATAGAAATATGTGTATATTGTTGATTACTAAATAACCTTTATCTAATTTGTAACTAGTTAACTGTTGAACGAGGATTTTCCTATGTTGAGAGGATTTGGATAATCCGGCTTGGCAAGAATTATATTCATATTCTTCAATTCGATATTCCTCTATCTTTTAATTGTCACAATTATATCCCTTAGTTTAATTTTAACGGAACAGGATATACTAACTAATATCTAAATTAAAACTAAACAGAATCTGAACTAATCTCTACATCTGATCAAACCAATATATTTTAAACAGCTTGTATATTATCTAATGTAATAAGGACCCGTGTACCTAGACGTGTATATTAAACGATTTTCATACATATATACAGACGTACAAGAGAATATATATTTTGTAACTTAGGCTAGGCTTAGACCAAAAGAGACCCATCCATTTTCCAATTTGTATAATAAATCGTGAGCTTTGTAATGGACTGTTATATTGGGTAATAAATATTGGCGTATTTTATATATATGTACTGTGTTGATTATATACGTTTATTGAGCATTGAAAATGTTATGATCGAATCTTGTCAAATTAATTTAGTAATTTCTAATCTGTACTAGATTTATTGTATCATGGGTGTGCGCGGGGAAGTCCCGGGGACCATTTGAATAATCAAAAATAAAATAGTTTTTAACCTTTTATGCTGCCCCTACATATTAGTAGTCTTAGCATTTTTGTAGGAGACTTGTAATTGATTTCGAACTGTTTTTTATTTATTTAAACAATAATATAGTAAAAAGTTTTGGTTTATTATTAATTATTAAAAATCAAAAAAATGTAAAAAATTGTATTGGATCTCCAATACAATTTTTTACATTTTTTGGCTATGGATTATTTAACTCGAAAAATGAAACTGTAAAACGTATTCTATTGTTTTCTTTTTTTACATAATATCAAAATATCATAACAGACTCCTTTGTATATGGATATGAAGTCTTAAGACGAAGTTCGTATGGAATTGAGGGTAGATAAAGCAAATAAACGTATATATAATATAGTTTCAGTGAATCTGTCCTTTTCGTAATCGACTTCCACCGTGTGCGCCCGCACATTCTATTCCATCGCTTTCACTCATCTCTCCGTGTAGACAAATATTGTAATAAATAGATAGCGGTATAAATAAATACCTTTACAGAGATTCCTCGTTTTATTTCCATCATGTTCCTTACGACCTAAACATAATAATCACAACACTGTCGGGCAAAATTATTGGGTACCTTTATTATTTCAATTCGTGGTTGAAAATTTTTGCCGACTTTTATGAAAATGTTTACTCGAACACATCAACTTTTACTTTGATACAGTAATGATGCAGATATTCGTGTCCGTTATTTTATTATCTTCTATAAAGTATTAAATGTATACCTGGTGGTTAGAATTGATTAGTTTATTAAGAAGAAGGAAGAGTTGATATGCCTTCCATAAAATCTGGTGTTGCGGTGCGCCGTACAGTAGCTACTGAGACATTAGTCGCCTCAGCAGTCGATTATTTACGTCTATGATGTTTTTCGCAGTACCTAATTTTTTATGTAACTAAACACTGAATAGACCATTTGTCGGGATTGTCTATTTAACACCGAATTCTTCCTTCTCTGCATATTTACACCAAAATCTGAACACCCAAATTATAACAACAAAAATAATTAAAAACAAGAAATAACAAAAATAATTAATAACAAGGAATACACAAGCAACAATTAACAACGGTATAACAAAAACAATTTAAAATAAACTAAATAAAAAAGTTATCACTAAAATAATTGCTCTGAAGTGTACGGAAGCCGAACGATACGTTCGAAACCAATAGCCGACGAGAATCGACTGATGAACCAATTACGTTGAACGTCAGCGTGGTCAACGTCGTATCGACCAATAAAAAGTGTGCTCACGACTTATGTCGGCAATTATATATGCCGTAATTTTTTAGTATTGTGATCGCTGGAATGGTTCCAATACCGCACGGATCGAGTGTTTTTATGGCTTACAAATCATTCACTGTGTAGTGGCTGTGTAAGAATATCCACTAGCCCATATCTCGAGGGTATCGTAAAATTTGACAGAGGGAAACAAATGGGAAAAAAACAGCTGGGCAGCAGCGTCTTCCTGATAACGAATAAAAATTAAAAACCTGCTGTTGTCAACCCGCTTGCAAGCGTGGCAACTGTGGCAAATATCCCTCTTATGAAACGATCTATAAGGGATGCCTATGTTCAGCAGTGGAAATAGGCTGTGAGTGTAACTGTTACAAATGATTGTATCTAGTGTGGATGTTAAATCTTTGTGCAATTTTTGTTTATGCAAACTGCCTTCTCGACTCGTTTATTCCAAACGACGGGAATTAAAAAAAAAGTTTAAATGAAACGTGATTAAAAACGTCAAATTAGTTTTTTTTTGGTGCCGTATTTGTGTAAATAACAAATATAAAAATATAGGCTATGCTCGTAGTTCCGCAGCAGAACCAGAGTAACCGACGCAGCCCAACGAATCAGTACGCTGAAGTGGCAATGTGCTGGCCATATATTTCGTAGGACCCATAACCGATGAGGAAAAGAGGTTCTTGAGTGGCAGCCTCGTACCGGCAGGCGAAGTGTAAGGTGTCCCCCCACTAAATGGAGCTGGTAAAATGTACAGGAAGTCGATAGATGCGTGTGGCTCAGGGCTTGTGAATGAAATTAAATGAATGATTTTTATTCAATATAGATTATTGCATAATACTTATTGAGTTTTATTTACCACTGGTTCGGAAAAAATCCTCTGTCCTGGGAAGAACAAAAAAAACAGGATTTTTTAAAACATATTTCACTTCACAATATTTTAGTTTGCACAATTTTTAAATTAATTTTTATAGAACCAGCATGATGGCGATCGCCTCATTCCCAGGAGTTATTTTCATTTATGTATTCGTTGATATTATAATAACTCTTTTTGTACAATTTTTATTTAATACGAGGCCGGTACTGAAAATTTCGGGAATCAAGGAAGTGACAAAACATTACTATTTAAAAATGTATTTATTGCTTTTCGAAGTATTCTCCGCGAAATTTGACACATTTTTCCATACGATGGAACCAATCATTGAAGCAACCATTCCATTCGGAAGTTGGGGTCTCCAAAATGGCCGTTTTGTAGGCGTCCACAGCTTCTTCAGGTGATTAAAATCTCTGTCCACGCAATTTATTCTTTATTTTAGGGAAAATATAGAAATCATTAGGGCTTAGGTCGGGGCTGTACGGCGGATGGTCTAATAATTCTATGTTTTCTTGCTCTAAAAACTCTTTTGTTCTGTGTGCGGTGTGAGAACTCGCATTGTTGTGATGGAGGACGATGCGGCGGTTGCAGTTCTCTTTACGGAGTTCAGAAAGGACCTGTGGCAAACAGATGCTAGCATACCATTCTGCATTAACCGTTCTTTGTCCCTCAAGAGGAATAGTCGTAACATGGCCGGTTTTGGAGACAAACGTGGCCACCATTTTTTTTGCAACACTCCGTGAACGAACAATTTTTGTTGGCTTTAACTCATTTTCGAACACCCAAACTCGTGACTGGTTTTTTGTTTCGGGTTCGTACGCGTATATCCAGGATTCGTCACCGGATACCATGTTGTATACAGCATTTGAGGATCCTGCGTGGAATCTTTCGAAAGTTCTGACGCACCAAGTAACGCGAGCCGCTTTTTGCTCTTCACAGAGCGAATGCGGTATCCATCGGGAAAACAACTTTTTTACACCTAATTGTTCATGCAATATTATTTGTATTTGACTCATGCTAATGTCTAAAGTTGCCTGAATTTCGCGGTATGTCACATGTCGATCTTTCTCAATCAGCTTACGCACAGCATCAACGTTTTCTTGGGTGATTGCAGTTTTTAGACGACCTTGACGGGGATCATCACTGAGCTTGACACGTCCACGTTGAAATTCAGCAAACCAGCGATATATTGTGGTTTTGGATGGGGCTTCATCACGAAACGCAGAAATCATCCGGTCAACACACTGTTTTTGTGTTAAACCACTTCGAAAGTCATAATAAATCATCGCTCTTGAATTTTCTCGAGTCAATTCCATTTTCTCAACGACTAAACAAGTTTGACAAAACCTTGTGACAAGACCGAGAATCTTTTTTTAAATAAATAAATGGTATTCGATTTTTAAAACCAAGGAGTTTTCAATTAAAAAGATTTTAATACGACAGGAACAGTGGAAATATTCCATTCCCGGTACTTTTAGTGCACCCTAGGTAAAACATTTAAACTTGTTTAATGACAAATTTTGTACATATTCTGGGTTTCTGTTTAGTGTTGCTGCTCAAATGCAAGAACAAGACGAGACTTAGCCAGTCTTGGTCTTGGTCTTGCGCCAATACACCTGGTCTTGGTCTTGGTATTGCGCTCCCAGTCGTGCAGCAAGAGTCTCGAAACTAGGTTAAAACTTGAAAACTTGAAACTTGAACCTATTAACCTACTGCTATTAATTAAACGTTAATTTAGATCATTTAGAGCTTGAATTAACATAACCATAGTAAAGACCAATCAAATTAATAAATGTCTAAACAATTAATGAGAAATTCGAAAAATCAACTGACACCGGGCGGTTTGAACCCACGACCATAGCGATCCGTGCCGATGCTCTAACCAACTGAGCTATCTACCATGTCCCACGGTCACGGGAGTCAATCTATTTGTTAATATCAGATTAAGTAAAAAAAGGTAGATATCGCACCTAGAATAAGAAACTGTAACCAATTTTATAACTGTGTGAGTCAAAGAATTGTTGGCACATTTTTTTAAGTGCCTGGAAATTGAGATAAAATATTACATAATAATTTCTTAAATTTACGCGAACACTACACATTGAATAAAACTAAATTTACGGACTTTATCGCGTTTATTTCACTACTTTTACTTATTTTTAATTCCCGACGTTTCGGGCGCTTTACAGCAACCATGGTCACGGGGGGACTGAGATGTTTGACGTCCCAATGTCATAGTTATCCCGGCTACCTTCAGTTTTTGAATATTAATTTTTGGTCAGATCTACCCAGAACGAGCTTACAGTATTTTGAAGTCTTGCGGTGGTATGCTTGGGTTTGGGTTTAATTTTGTTAATTATAAGAGCGAGATGTAGGTCTTTTATCTCACTAACAAAATGGTATGAATCCTTTGTGTGTGCTCTGGTATCGAATTCACGTCGAGATTTAATTTTTCGGAGTATTTATCCGAAAAATTAAATCTCGACGTGAATTCGCTAATACCATCATGTACCAAACCACCGAGGTTGTATGGGTTACCGAAGATACACAAACCAAACGCTCCACTACGTCCTATAGTGAGCCAGATCGATTCACCAACTTATAAGCTGGCACAACACTTGGCAAAAGTACTGTCGCCACTGAGAGGACATACCAGAGCACACACAAAGGATTCATACCATTTTGTTAGTGAGATAAAAGACCTACATCTCGTTGACAATGAAACTATGGTCAGTTTTGATGTTCAGTCACTATTCACATGCCTACCTATTGAAGACTGCATATCAATTGTAACTAGGAAGCTAGAAGATAATAACATGCCTGCTGAATATGCAGTATTACTCAAACACTGCCTCACATCTGGCTATCTATTGTGGAAGGAAGAGTTCTACAAGCAAGTAGATGGTGTGGCGATGGGCCCACCTGTATCTCCAATAGTCGCCGACATATTCATGGAGGACTTCGAGGAGAAAGCCCTTCTTACTGCTCCTGTAAATCCAAGATTCTACAAGCGGCACGTAGACGACACTTTCACAATTTTACCATCTGACAAAGTAACTGCATTTTTAAACCACCTTAACTCTATAAACTCTAAAATACAATTCACAATGGAGTTAGAGGCAAATAATTCTTTAGCTTTCTTAGATGTTTTAGTCATTCGAAATCCTAATAACACAATTGGTCACACTGTGTATAGGAAAAAGACCCATACCAACCGATATTTAAATGGTGAATCTCACCATCATCCTTCACAGTTAGCTACCGTGGGTAAATCTTTGTTTCAGAGAGCACGAGGGATCTGTGACAAAAAACATATGGCCGCCGAACTTCAGCATGTCAAGCAAGTATTGCAAGACAACAAGCTTCGGGTCCCGCGCCTCCGTCACAGTGACCGAGTGAAGCCGGCCACAGTCGAGCGTGTACCTGCTGTACTACCATATGTCAGAGGAATCACAGACAAGGTTGGCTACATCTTGAAGCGAGCTTCCATTAAAACATACTACAAGCCGCCGAAGAAGATTAGTCAATTTTTACCATCCGTCAAGTGTAATATCCCTCTACAAGATGCAGGAGTGTACAAGTTAGATTGTGAATGTGGTCTCTCTAACATAGGTCAAACATAAAGATCTATAAAAACTCGCGTGAAAAAACATATAGCTGACGTGAAGCACCGACGCTCCGGGAAGTCTGCAGTCTGTGAACATGTTCAAGATCGTCCCCACCATTACATCAGATTTGATAAACCACAAGTCCTCGCAAAAAGAACACCGATTCCTACCAAGGATGATACACGAGGTTATTGAAATTAAAAAACATCCTAATTTCAATAGAGATTATGGTTGGGTTCTGCCTTCTGCTTGGGATCCTATAATTAACAAAATTAAACCCAAACCCAAGCATACCACTGCAAGACTTCAAGATACTGTAAGTTCGTTTTGCGTAAATCGGACCAAAAATTAATATTCAAAAACTGAAGGTAGCCGGGCTAACAATGACATTGGGACGTCAAACATCTCAGTCCCCCCCGTGACCATGGTTGCTGTAAAGCACCCGAAACGTCGGGAATTAAAAATAAGTAAAAGTAGTGAAATATACGCGATAAAATCCGTAAATTTAGTTTTATTCAATAAAATACTACAAATATAAGAGTAATATGCGATGTGAATGCGAAAGTAAATCTGTCTGTTTTAATAAATTTTAACAATTTGAAAAGAGTTGATGAACGTAGGAGGCGTCTGTAGATCATTTAAATCTTATTGATACATCCTCCAGTGAGCGTGTAAGCATCGAGAAATAATACAACTTATGTAATATAAAACATGTGTAATATAAAAACATAACTTAATACAAAAAAACGTAAAAAACTAGTTGGAATAAAAAATGAATTACCACGGAATAAAAAAAAATACTTTTTTAGATGAAAAAAAAAGTGTATTTTAGTCAATACAAAGTAGAACAAACTTCAGCCCGGGGCATAAAGGTGTGTTCCAATTTGTTTATCGGTTAGGAGAGATATGAAGTATCCGCCGGAGAGGACACCTGAGTCTCGGTTTAAAAAGAGCAAGGCCGGTTTCGGGCTAGTTGCGGGTGGAATATTTATAATATAATAATTAGGGTTGCCAGATGGTCGGGATTCGTCTGGATTCTCCGGACATTTTAAATGATCTCCAGACTCCCGACAAAACTTAAAATCTCCAAACAAACAGCTACTCGGAAAGTTAGTGTAAGGCCTTTGATTTAATAAGAGCTGAGTTAGTAATTTGACTGAACTTAGAAGTATATTGTTTGAATTTTAAATATTTTCTGAATACTAAAGGATTTAAATTGGTGGGTTCGAGTAAAGTCCAATGTCATATACATGCGGCAATCAAAGTACTAAGTGTAATTATATTAGTTTGGTTTAAAGTACTTTTTCTAGCCTCTTAATTAAAAAAATAAACTTTTTATTTTTAATATTCATTTCTACCGATAATAACCCCAAAATCCCTACATTTTCAAATTTTGTCCAGATATTTTGGTCTACAGATCTGGCAAACCTAAATATAATGCGTGCGGAGAAGCGCGCAGGCGACGATTGTATGCGATATCAATAGAAGCCGCCGTCGCGTGTATCTTAACCTTGTACTTCCGAATAGCTGCAAAATTTCTTTAACAGGTCTGTGTCCGACCTTTGGTGATGCCGACAACAAGACGCCGCGCACTATCAAAGTGCCGATGGTCAAAATTAGGGATGCACTCTTTTTTCTTTTAATGGATTTTTTTCGTTATATATGTTTATGGTAATGTTAATGTCAAAAATCTGTATCCATCTGTATCATTAGAACAGCATCGCGGAGTGTACGCGCTAAGAAGTTAATTATAGTCAGCTTAGTTGATTAATGGCCCAATACTCAAACGGTACTCAACTCAACTTCAGATGTCGTTAAGCTGTTCACGCGGGCGAACCGCGCGCGCTGCCGACGCTACCCGGTGCGCCCGACATCGCTTGCGTCGGCTTCGCCCACAGAACACATTTACCCTGACGGGAAGAACGATAACTTCATACAAAAAAATGCCAACTTGCGACACTAGCGCGCCAGTTTTTGACCCATGAACCAATTTTCACGCCAGATTTCAAAACTGATAACTCATGATTTTATTTTATTTTATGGCATATATCATGGAAACAAAGCGAAATTCTGGTATTTAATTTGAAAATTACACGAATTTCGGTTTGTTTTCATGATACATACATGTTTATGGAAAGGTATTAAATAAAACGAAGTTGTAAGCGTGTTTTTAAATATTTTATGCTTTTTTCGAAGCTTCATCGGTGAACGGCCTATTTTCTTAAATATAGTGTCGTTTTATGCATATAAATACAGTAGAACTAATTATATGCATTTTATTTTTATCATAGTGCTCAGAACAATCAAGCAACCATTCGAAATTTAATTTTCTTCTTAAAATTTCTATAAGTTCATTTTTTATATTTATTTTACACCCATGCTCATCCACAAATTTATTAACAATTGTTGCAGCAATTTCAATAGAATATCTCCGTAAATTCTTTTTTAACGTAATGTTGACTGTTGCGCGTACAATTGTATTCTTTAAAACTTGTGAGTAAATGACTTACCTCAGTGTTCTGGTCTCAACAGCATTTATAAACGCGGTTGAGCGGTTTTATTAAAACTATAGTTTTAATAAAACCTTCCTGTGAAGGCGGCTTGCATCTGGCTACAATAAATTG